ATAGTATGTATTAATACCGTGGGGGGGGGGGGCGAAACATCTGTGCATATCTCTCTATCAGTGTTATAGAGGGCGAACAATTTATGAGTACAGGGTACAATTTATGAGTACAGCTTTATACAGGGTAAAATGGATTTATTTGGGGTTTGGACCCCGTTGGGAGTTGGACATCTGAGTGTTAAAGACAGGAACACTTCTGTAAGTTGCTTTCAGTTAAGCCTACAGCTGTTAGGGGACGTGGTTTAGACCCTGGGTCTGGGTTTGCAGCAGGCTAGCGGGTCTGGCTCAAACCAGACAGGACACTGAAATCCTAACCTGCCAGAGCAGGAAAGCAGGGGCAGAAGTAGTCTTGGCACATCAGTTGGCAGCCCCTAGAGGGTTTCTGTGATCCAACCCGTCACACTTGCCATCCAACCAGTAGCTTGGATTTCAATGTCAGCAGCAGAAGTATCGCTCGGTCTTCAGGTTGGAGCTCTCAGAGACGAGCCTTGTTATTGACCTGCTCCTGATTGTGTTGTCCCTTTTGCAGGTTTCCCCTCGCAAGCTCCCCCAGGGTCTTCAATTTATTTCTTGACTATAACATAGCACACTACATTGGTTGTTCTGGAGTTCTGTCCTTCCCATGTCTCATGGAGGAGGTCCAGTATTCCCCTTGACTGCCTCCCGTGTAGTAATTCAAATGGGGAGAAACCTGTGGATGCCTGGGGCACCTTGCGGGTGATGAGCAGGACAGGTGAGGTGGTACCAGTGTCAGAAGTCAGTGGATTGAACTATCTCAACTTTTTAATGTTTTGTTAAACTGTTCCACCAGACTGTCGGTTTGGTGGTGGTATACCGACGTCTTCAAGGACTTGAACCATAGCAGGTGGCACAACTCCTTCTGTGACCGGGTGCCCGGATGGACCACATTGAGAATGCTACACTCAGGGCAGACTGCAAGGAATGGGACAGACAATCCCCCAAGCTGGGTGTTTATTCTATAATTAGATTCACCAAGCCAATAACAAAACAACTTCTGCAGTACCACACTGGTTACCAAGAAACCAAACACAGTCACCTTTAAGCATTCCAGCTCTTGACTTCCATCTAGACAGCCAAGTCTAATATAGTGATGGGTTACTGAAGACCAGATTCACCATATGTGAGTTTCGCCATTCCCAAAGGACTGGACATTGATCCCCAGGTCAATATGAGTCTCAGATCTTGCCCAATAATCACACCGATGCCAGTCCTTTAGTAACTAAACAACTAAAGATTTAATAATAAAAGGAAAAAGAAATAAAAGATGTGCAAAAGGTTGAAAGATCAATATACATAGAAATAAGTGTAAAGTCCTTAGGTCAGTTTCATAGCAGAGATGGTGAGGCTGCTGATTTGTAAGTCTTTCTGGAATCAATTTAAAAGGTTATAGTCCAATAGGGAGTCCAAGTGTAGAGTCTGTTCAAGTCTTTCCATGAATTTTCCCAGTTAATCCAAATCATTATTTGGAAGATCTCCATCCTATGACCTATACTTCCCTGTTCGAAGTTTAAGCAGACTAAAGATAAAAAGAATCAGGTCCTTCCTTTATAGTTCTATAGCAAGCTGATAAACCTCCTCACAGCAATTGTCACAGCAGGACCTTCCCCGAGGAAGAATAGGCAATGCAGATGGTTGCTTTGAAGCTAGTCTATTTCCTAAGCCTATAATGGGGAGGGATAGCTCAGTGGTTTGAGCATTGGCCTGCTAAGCCCAGGGTTGTGAGTTCAATCCTTGAGGGGGGCATTTAGGGATCTAGGGCAAAAATCTGTCTGGGGATTGGCCCTGCTTTGAGCAGGGGGTTGGACTAGATGACCTCCTGAGGTCCCTTCCAACCCTGATATTCTATGATACAAGTAAACTAGTTGGATTTATTCACTTACAGCAATTAGCCAGTACTTTATTAAAGCACAGATAATTAAGCTGAAGACAATGTGAATAATATGAGTAGTTTCCTGCAGTATCTTACATCTATTGATTTTAAGGTTAGCTGAACCATCCACTTGCATAATATACCACAATTAAAACATAAAAGGGAATTAGCATCCAAAAGCTAATCTGATTACATTGTTATACTTCTAACAAAATATAGGCAAACACAGACAAATACACTTAGAAACTACCCTTGATTTCTATTACTACAAATAAGTGGGTTAATGATTGCAGTTTTAGTACATCTCTTTGAAATTCATATACAAGTAGATTGTCTCAATTACATTTCAATGCCTCTTGTTAAGTTCTTATGGGTCATTCATAAGGTGACTAGTCTCAGTGTCACACCTTCATTAACTGTGAGGTGAAGTTTGTCCCTTGCTCTGTAAAATATTTCTTTTGGGATCCCTACTCAGGCAAATACTTTCATGAGCTTACTAGCGATGACAGCTGCCATTTCTGACCAGAGGGGAATAGCCCCAGGTGGCATAGTCCAAGATCACCAATGTATATTTGTACCTGGCTGCAGATGTTTTCAGCAGACCCACTAGCTCTATGCCTATCCATAAGAACATAAGAATGGCCATACTGAGTCAGAACAATGGTCCATGTAGCCCAGTATCCTGTCTTCTGACAGGGCCCAATGCCAGATGCTTCCTAGGAAATGGACGCAACAGGGCAATCATCCAGTGATCCTTCCCGTGTCCCCCAGCCCAGCACCTGCCCATCAGAGGGACCCCTGCAGAGGGGAGTAGTACCAGGGGGACCTTTGAGATTTTTTTCTGGCTCACCCACTGGTACTTGAGGCAGAAGGGGCAATAGTCTCGTGCCTCTGGGGTGGATGCCCAGCCAGTAGAACTTCATGGTCACTCTGTTGAGTGTCTTCTCTGTCCCCAAGTGCCCCGGCACAGCACTACATGTGCCAATTGAAGCACCTCCCCTTTGGAAATTCCTGGGTACCGAAGCTGCATTTAACCAGCCCTGTCTTAGCCTGCTTCATCACCTGATATGATCTCTCCTCTAGCCATTCAAAATAGGGCCACTATTTCAGCTGCGGTGGGTCTAACACTTTGTCATCCACATGGTGAGACATTCATAAACCTGACTCAGGGTTGGGTCCCTCCTTTGCTCTCCCACAATGTGTATTTGCTAGACAGCAGGTCCAGATTGAGAGGTGGTAGTAGGCCTCTACTGCTCCAGTTAAGTTCAGGTGAAAAGTCATTTGCCCATGAGGGTGGTCCTTCTTCTGGATCTTTGGCCTCCAATGGAGCCATCTCCTCGTGGCACCTCCTGTTGGCCACCATGGCCATCTCCTGTTCTCTTGGTTCTTCTAGTCCGGCTCTAGCCCCTCTACAGGTGCTCCAGGCCATCCCTGGACATCCTCCCTGAAAAACTTCCGGTCATGCCAATGTATGACCAGATAGGGCAGGTCTTTGCCCACTCTGGCCTGCACTGCCTTAGTGTGATCTTGCACAGTGAGTTGGTCTCATCGGACAGGGTTATATTTCCCCGTGGGAAATATGGGTCACACTGGGTTTAGACCATGCCTCTAGATTCTCCTCCCGACCCCACCAACCACTCCCTGACTAAAGTCCAGCTGCAGCCAGAGTCTATCAGTCCTTGTACTTTTACTCCATTCACTAGCAATAATATCAAGATATGCCTGTGTTATATCTGTCTGCCATTACATTGTTCACTCTGCTCCTGTATTCTAATTCCTTCCGCCACCATGTGTATTTTGTCTATATAGATTGTAAGTTCCTCAGGGCATGGAGCATTTACTACTCTGTATTTATACAGTGCCTGGAACAATGGGGCCCTGATTTTTATTGGCCCTTTGGCACTGCTTTAATGAACATGATTAAAAATAATAACTGTCCTGCTGCTTAGAACTATGGAAGCTGGCTTCAGGATGCGTAAAAATGAGCTGAGGGTAAAATCATGGAATGTTCTTTGTGACAAGTATTCCACAAATTCAGCTGATCTCTCTTGTTTTTGTTCTCTTATGCAGGGTTTCCAGTTTCCAAACCTGATGTGATCTCCCGGCTGGAATGAGGGGAAGAGCTGTGGGTCCCAGATCTCCAGGGCTCTGAGGAAAGAGAGCTCCAGAAAGGTTCCCAGACAGGTGAGGCCTCAGCTAACCAACTCAGAAACTGTCCATGAATGAAAGAAACATTTGGGATTCCCTACAAAGATCTTGTGAGCTCTCCAAATTCAGAATTGTTCCCAGCAAATGTGGCATCCTCATGACAGATGTCACTTCTGGCTGTGGTGACGACACAGGAAAGGAAACA